TCGTGGGAATATACACACACTTGAAGGAGCTATCGTTCGACGCGCGGATAAACAAAATGCTCGCGGAATGGCTCGTAAACACCGGTGAATGGATCCCAGGCATCGACATTTTTACTGCCATATCGTCTCGGGTATATACTGCAGCCGCGGCATCATCTGCGAGGAGGATTCTCATAGTCCTCGAGAACGTTTTTATCGTGCGCTCGAAATCATTTCGGGAGAGCAGGAGAATTCGCGAAGGACTCGCGACGATTCGCCCCCCTCCTCGTTGGAAATTGATTCACCCTCGCGGGATAGACGGTAATTTAAACGGATTGCCCGCGATTATATTTCACGTGTTAATTGCTCGCGTTGATCAGATTACGGTATCACATTGGCAAACGGTCGTGAGAGTCCGCGTGCCGAATGTAATAAATAAAATTCGCGAGTCCATGAATAAACGGGGTTCCGTAAATAACTCGCGAAGTAACAATCCTCCCCTCCCCCCCGGCGCGGAGCTCGTCTGCGGAAACAAGTCTCCGGGCTCGACACGTTGCTCCCTGAGGATCTCGCTTCCGCCTAACAATTCGATCTTCGGAGTCGCGTTTTGCATTGTACGTTTTGCGTGTATATGTGTGACGTCCCAGATCTTGTTACTTTTCCGTCTTTCTTCGCGATCCCGGCCCTCACCGCCTCCCCCTTCCCGTGCCGCCTAGTACTACTGCTATTACTACTACTACTACTACTCCTCCTCTCGCGTCTTCGCCGTCGGCTACCACAGCCATCCGGCCAGCCAGCCACAGCTGTCTCGATCCCACGTAACCGCGGCGCAGAGCAACAACGGTGGCCGTCAGACAAAGACTTCGTGTCTGTCAGCCGTCTCCCCGCCGCACCGACTCCACGGGCTACGACGACGAGTGACACCCCGAGTAAAAGTCCGCGCATTGACAAATCCCGCCGGAGCGTAGATTTGACGGATGGCGTGTATTTTATTCCGCCCCCGCCGCGCGTCTTCTCGCATGTTCTCTCGCCCTCCTCTCTCTCTGCCTCCTCTTCCTCCTCCTTCTCTTCCCTTTCTCCTCCTCCACCACGCACCCTCCCTACCCAAACTTAGATCAATATGTTGCGTCATGTACCCCCCGCACGGCGCCCAACGTCTCGCCGTCCTCCCAGCCACCCACTCCTCCGACACCTCCGCACCCCCATCCTTCGCGGCAGCCCACTCCCTCCCCCGTGAACCAGCGCCGCAAGTGACGTCACGCAGGGACGCGCCCCATTCATAGGCTCCCACGCAGAGAGAGAGAGAGAGAGAGAGAGAGAGAGAGAGTCCAGGCCGCAGCGGCGGAAAAAAGGAGCGGAACCGTGGAAAGGAAGGAAGAAAGAAAGAGAGTAGCGACGCGCCGACGGCGACCGGTGGAGGTGGTGGCGTCGGCGTCGGCGACGGCCACCGCATGCACAGATGTGACGGACGCGATCGCGGAGGCTGCGTACAGCCGCCGTATCGATTCGCCTCGAACGGCGAAGGTGTGTCGGTTGGCTGTAATTTCGTCGTTTTCGCGCGGGACGCAATTAAACGGCGGGCCGCGTGCACAGGAAAGCGAGAAGCCCGCGTCCGCGGCGCGTAGAAAAAGTCCGAGCGACGCGACGCGCGCGTCGTCGCGCGAGCCCGGATCGATGATATCGTAACGACGCGCGTTCTCGCTCTCCCCCCTCTCCCTCCCTGTGACTCCCGCGACGATGATGTTTGTCATTGTACGTACTTGCGTGCGACCGTGACGGAAGCGTACGTAGCGTGCGCGCCGCGCACGTGTGTGCACACACAACGGAGCTTTACTACAAAACACCCCACCGGCCCACCCCCGTGACGCTCGTGCGCAACCGAGCGCTGGCCGTGCCGGTTGAATTTTACGCGAGCGCCATTGTGTGTGTGTGTGTGTGTGTTATCAGCGCGCGCCTCGAATTACCTTTGATAATCCAGAAAATGGAGTTTTCGTCCCCGGCAGGAACGGGAAAGGTGCTGCCGCCGCCGCAGTCCCCGATGCTCGCGACAGATAAAAGCGACGGCACGCCAACGAGAGATCGCATGAGAATGCACAATCCGTACACGCGTATTATTAGAATCATATCGATCTTTCTCCCGCGTTCTTTATAATTGCAATCGAGTATCGAGTCCGCGGCTAATCCGTCGCGGAACGTTCGTTAAATAGAACCAGAAGAGATGTACGGTGATCAATAAAGTCCGAGTTGCCGGCTAAAAATAACGGCGAAATCCAGCGTTACGTTTCTGTCTGGTGAACGGGGAGGGG